GCAAGAAGCAAAAGGTGGTATCATGTTCAAGTGCTGAGGCAGAGTATAGAGCAATGAGGAAATTGACTAGTGAGCTCATTTGGATCAGAAACTTGCTAAGAGACTTGGGCATAGAAACATCAACACCAATTACCATGCATTGTGATAACCAGGCAGCCATTCATATTGCTTCAAACTCAGTGTTTCATGAAAGGACAAAGCATATTGAAGTGGATTGCCACAAAGTGAGACAAGCCGTGGAGCAGAAGATTATCCTACCTTGCTACACTAGAAGTGAAGACCAGTTGGCTGATATCTTTACCAAAGGAGTAAGTAGTAAAGTCTGTGAGTTTATTCATCCGAGATTAGGACTCATAGACCTTGATAGATCATGATCTCCTTAAGCCATGAAGCATCTACTCTTTTTCCTTTGTGTGGTTTTGTCCCATTGGGTTTTTCTATACAAAAGGTTTTAACGAGGGATGTTTTCATGGTTCCAAGCTTTACCATTAGGCATGGCAAAGCTTGAGGGGGAGTATTAAATTAAATAAATAAATTAGTTATTTATTCTAGCTTCTCTAGTAAGCCAAGTGTGTTTGGTTACTAGAATAAGATTACTCTATCTCTTTATAACTTTTTGTAATGTTATTTTTTGAGATTCAAGGGAAAAAGTTTCTCCTTCTTTACTCTTTTCTCTCATCTCTCTCTTGTTCTTCAATCTCAAAGCTTCACTTTCTTACAATATTTAGGTACTCTTTCGGATTGAATAAATACAAATGGGTTTTGTAGTTAGATATGGTTCGTATCTTTGTGCGCGATAAATAAATGTCGCATGTTGTTAGTATGTTAGATGTTACCGAAAATAATAGATGCTATAATAATAACCAAAGCCAAAAAATAACTAGATCAAAATTTGCAGATATTATTATAGAAGATTCAAAGTAATAATAATTTTTCAGTTAATGAGAACAAGTAAGGATTCTCCACATGGTCCGGGAAGCTAATGATACGAACATCCTTTTGTTGTCCCTTGAAGGTGTTTTCCAGTTCAACTCTTCTAATCTTTTCTTGATTCGGATCATAATACTCTGCGTATAATGGTTTAACACAATCCCATGTCTTCGGCATTATCACAATCTCACCATTAAGAGTGACACCAGCGATACGAGTGCTATATCCTAAACTCTTTAATGTAGAAGAAGACATGGTTAATAATATACTCTTACACCATTCTTGTTTCTCACCATGATCTTCCAAAACCCACATCTATGCACTATCCTCGCTATAACGTATAAAAAGAATTCTCTCGTTGTAGCATTGTATATTAAAAACTAACTTGAGCTTGTTAAACAACAGATTAGTCCACGGATATATTGATACATATATATATTGTGATGTTATCGTTTAATTGGAGATAGTGAGCTCTTCTTCTCTTGGTTCTTCATGGTGTTAGGTTTGTCTTTTGTGGATCTTAAACGAAGAGAATACAATATATATATGATGAGAAACCAAAACCTATTTACTACTAGATTTATGACATTCCTGTTTTAACAATTTTTTTGTTGAACTACGTGGCTTTTCTTTTTTTTTCTTCGTTATAGTTCTGTTGGAGATTCTACTACGTAAAGGAAAAACAAGAGTTTGCAAGAAAAATTAATCCACACAAAAGCAAATCACTGAACCAAACAAACAATGAGATTTTCGAGTGTACTATTAACTTATTAAATTTTAAATAATTTATAAAAAAAAAAGGCTTGGAATGAAATTTTAGCTTTAACAGTAAATAGTTATTTAATGATCGGAAAGTTGAGAAAGCGTATTTTATTTTTGTTGACCGAAAAGAGTATATAGATATGCTTGGAATTAATATTATCTTTATTGATAATATGTATTATTATGTTTGAGAAAAAAAAGAAAGAGTGTGTGAATGTGAAGGACCGATGAGTCTGAGCCGGATGTTTCTCAGTCATGGGGTACGAGCGGGGTCAACGGCTTTCCTCATTTATATATTAAACACGTGTTACGCCTTTGTTACTCTACCCAGCTTCTACTGACTCACAAACTTTGCTATTAAACTCCAAATTTTCTTCTTGTTGATAAAACGTAAACCAAAAATAATCCAAATACTAGGAAAAAAACAAAAAAAAGGAGTTGTTTCATCAAACCTTAACCTATATCACATATCAGAAACAAGAGTGACAAGACTCTAAAGAAATACAAAGAAGAAAGAAAATCGAATTAATTAATCTTATATTCTTTTCCTCTAAAAATCTGTTAATTAGAGATCTTTGAGAAAATTTATAAAAAGACGAGAATTCGTCGAGATACATAGCAACATGTTCTCGGACACCAACGCTGCCCGGACGATCGTCGGCATCATCGGTGAGTCCTCAAAATTTAACCAAACAAATCAACAAAACAAAACGTTGCTAATCTTTTTTTTGGTTATGTTAAGGAAACGTGATCGCCTTCGGCTTGTACTCCGCTCCAATGTAAGATACATAACATATTATATGTTCTGTTGTTTGTAAAATGATGTTAAATTAATGCATGCGATAATGTATGTATATTTGTTCAATTATGCAGACCAACGATGGTGAAGATATGGAAGATGAAATCGGTGTCTGAGTTTAAGCCAGATCCATACTTAGCTACAGCTATAAACTGCATGATGTGGGCCTTTTACGGACTTCCTTTTGTTAAACCTGATAATATCCTCCTCATCACCAATAATGGAGTTGGTCTTGTCATGGAACTCGTGTATGTCATCATCTTCTTCATCTTTGGTACCTCGCATGTCCGGGTAAGAGCACCATTATCCTAAGGCTAAGAACCTTGGGAATTTTTTTTTAAAAGATTAAAAATCTTTGGACCCAACTGATTTGTCAAGAAATGCTTCTTCCATGTGCAAAATAAGAGAAGTGTTTTACTGTTTGCGGACTCCACTGATACGTAGCGATCTACGATTGGTTAGAATTTTAATTATTTTTATTTCAAACAAAAAATTAAAAAAATAGAATTAAGAACCTCTAATATGAGGTTTGTGTGATAAAGATGCTCTAAGTATATAAACCCCCAATATGAATATGAATGCACTACAATTTCTTCTTTTTTTTTGTAACCATGGGCGAATCTAATGAGATATATGAAGCTATAAATATTCTTAGGTTAATCTTAATAATTTTTTTTTTTTTTTTTATAATTCGAAGATGATTCATATATAGAAGTTTTTAAACCTTGGAGTCAAATCGAATGATTCACTCGGCTGTATCCAAAATCGATCTTAACTGTAGCTATGAAAAATCTCTAGAAATGTGTTTTCTGAGATGCGTATTTTTTGACTTAAAAAATTTAGGAATTAAATTAACTATTTTCATTATTGATAATATGTATTTATGCGTATTTGATGAAATTCTATTTTATAAAACAGAAAAAGATCACAATAGCTATGGTGATTGAGGTGATAATCATGGCTGTGGTTATCTTCTGCACATTGTATTTTTTGCATACAACAAAACAGAGATCTATGCTTGTTGGGATCTTATGCATTATTTTCAATGTGATCATGTATGCTTCTCCTTTAACCGCCATGGTATATGCTATTCCACTTTCTCATTTCTACATCATTGTTTTTTTTTTTATTTCTTGTTGTCTTGTGAACTAATGTGTTTCATTAATGTGGAACAGAGACTTGTGATAAAGAAAAAGAGCGTGAAGTGCATGCCGTTCTACCTGTCTTTAGCCGACTTCATGAACGGAGCCATTTGGATCGTTTATGCATGTCTTAAATTTGACCTCTATATTTTGGTAAACTTCCATTTTCACCTCTTTAATGTTCAACCCAGTCGATATATCCTTTTGTATTTACTAAAGAGCGGTGATATGTTGATTTCTTTCATGAAAGCAGATCCCAAATGTTCTTGGATGCCTATCAGGAACAATACAATTAATAATATATGCACTTTACTATAAAACAACTAACTGGGAAGACGATGATGAAGATAGAGAAAACAACAATTCGAATGCTGAAATCGAGCCTTCCCAAGCTTGAAAACTGCAGGCTAGGAATTGGACTTTCACATTTGTTTTCTTCTGTTTTACAAGAAGTACCATCATAGAGTGGTGAGACCAGCCTCATCGTTAAGTTTAGTATCAGAAGAAATGCAAAAGAAAAGACAAAAAAAAAATGAAGAAGAGGAACCCTTGAACTTAAACGTTTCTTGAGTAGGAAGAAAAATAAGGGTTTCACTTTTTTGGTTCAAGTTGAAATGATTATAACTTTGACTTGAATCTTATGTAAGTTTTCTTAACATTTTTTGGAAAAAAAATTGTCCATTACGGTTTGATTTTAGATCATAATATTAAATAAACAGAGGTTCTCTTGTTTTAGGTTTGTTTTGGCTCTGGCCGGTTAAGGATACTTGAACCTGAAATCAAATAAGTACATTTGCTCACCAAGTCTAGTATTTTAAGAGTCTGTGACCGAAGTTGCTGGCTCTGGCCTTCGACTGCACAGAGAGCTTATCAGGCTGCACAGATAGCAGAACTTCATACATACGAAAGATGAAACCTACATGTACGCTAAACAAAACCAAGGAGTAAATCCTGGAAATGAAAACTATTTTTAGATGAATTTACACTATTTCTATCTATCTAATATCACCAATCCATTATACATGATAAAATTTATTAGTTACAACCGTTTTTTTTAACATCAAAACGGCTGATCTATTACTCAAACGACTTGAACACCTACAGTCGCAAACCTATTTAATTTTCATAATATGTTAGTGCATTGTGATTCTATGCAGTAAAACAAAAATATTTTTTTTTAAAATCATCTTAAAATATGTGGGCTAACCCCTACGAAAAGATCGAGTTTTTTGATAAAGACTATAAATTGAAGTTAAAGCTCTTGATTGTTGATTAAAAATGTCAAATCAGATAATCAATTTAAATAAATGTATTTTAAATTTATTTTATTGTACAAGAGCATCGTTTCAAACTTTTGAACGAGTAATTAATTTTAACTTCATAAACCACTTAATAAGTGGACTAACCCCAATAAAAAAATATCTTTTTGGAGAAACAAGAACACTTAAGGTCTCAAATCTATTTAATCTTCATAATATGTCAGTGCATAATGCTTCTATGCGGTAAAACAAAAATATTTTTTTTTTGTAATTTATCTTGAAATATGTGGGCTAACAACCCCTACGAAAAGATAAAGTTTTTCGATAAAGGCTATAAATTGAAGTTAAGGCTCTTGATTGTTGATTAAAAATATCAAATCAGATTATCATTTTAATATAATGTATTTTAAATTTATTCTAAATTATACAAGAGCATCGTTTCAAACTTTTTAACGAGTAATTAATTTTAACTTCAAATACCACTTAATCAATGGACTAACCCCAACAAAATTTTATTTTCTGGAGAAACGGGAACACCTAAGGTCTCAAACCTATTTAATCTTCATAATATGTCAGTGCATGATGCTTCTATGCAGTAAAACGAAAATATTAATTTTTTAATTTATCTTAAAATATGTGGGCTGAACCACTACGAAAATATCGAATTTTTGGATAAAGGCTATGTATTGAAGTTAAGGTTCTTGCTTGTTGATTAAAAATATAAAATCAGATAATCAATTTATATTAATGTAGTTTAAATTTATTTACATTGTACAAGAGCATCGTTTCAAATTTTTGAACGAGTAATTAATTTTAACTTCATATACCACTTATTAAGTGGACTAACCCCAATAAAAATTTATTTTTGGAGAAACGGGAACACCTAAGGTCTCAAACCTATTTAATCTTCATAATATGTCAGTGCATGATGCTTCTATGCAGTAAAACGAAAATATTAATTTTTTAATTTATCTTAAAATATGTGGGCTAACCACTACGAAAATATCAAATTTTCGGATAAAGGCTATGTATTGAAGTTAAGGTTCTTGCTTGTTGATTAAAAATATAAAATCAGATAATCAATTTAGATTAATGTAGTTTAAATTTATTAACATTGTACAAGAGCATCGTTTCAAACTTTTGAACGAGTAATTAATTTTAACTTCATATACCACTTAATAAGTGGACTAACCCCAATAAAAATTTATTTTTTGGAGAAACGGGAACACGTAAGGTCTCAAACCTATTTCATCTTCATAATATGTCTCTGCATGATGATTTTATGCAGTAAAACAAAAATATTATTTTTTCTAATTTATCTTGAAATATGTGGGCTAACCCCTACGAAAAGAT